TAAGAGTGATAAAGTCAGTTGCTGATGTCATGAAAGCATCTCTTGGGGTTCTAAAAACAAACCACATGCATGTGGAATAGAGCTGGCTTAGCGGTCGTACACGATGTCGTTAACTAATAAGCAGTGAGGATGAGTTCTGTTGAAATCACTGAGATCGTTATACTTGAGTCATATCGATCGCATTGTTGTTGTGAGCGGTGAAGCGGATTTTCCCATGCTAATTGTTAATGTTTAGGCTGCTTAATACTTCCGTAATTCCAATATGTCCGTCGATATACTATCATATCACGCTGTATGCTCTCGGATCAGAGGTCCCACTGTTGCTGTAACCTGCGTTACGAATCTGATGACCCTCCCCTTCCGAGGCCGCTTACCGTATCTTATCAACTGTTATCACTTTCTGTCGGCCAATAATGTTCCCGTCCCACACCCTATAATACTCACGGATTGGTTTCCACTGTTGCTGTACCTGCTACGATTTGATTGACCTTCTCTTTGCGAGGCCCCTTATCGATATTACACTGCTATCATCTTGTGCAGCCTCATCCCTACGGCATATTCAGTATTGAAATCATGGTCCCGGCACTTGCTGCAATTGCCGAATTCGATCACCCTCCTTTTAAGGGCCGTTATCGATTTATCAAGTGTTATCACTCTGTCGACACAAAAGTGTTTCCCGTCTGACCATGTATATATCACTCCTTGAATCACGGTCCCGCAGCTGCTGCAACTTGCGCTACGATTTCGGTCACCCCCCCTTCTAAGGCCCCTTATCGAATCTTATCAAGTGTCATCACCTCCTGTCACCCATCAAAAGTGTTCCCGTCCTGCCATGTATATCACTCCTTGAAATCACGGTCCCACACCTGCTGCAACTTGCGCTACGAATTCAGTCACCCTTCAGGGGCCCCTTATCGTAAATTATAAGGTTAACATCCTGACACCGCCCGAAAAGTGTTCCCGTCCTGATGTATAATCACTTATTGAACTGTCATCCTATGTTTTGCTATGATTTCGTGAACCACAACACACAAACCACACACACACAGACACATCAACAGACACATACCGGATTATAATTATAGTAGGAATGGCTTGCAATGTTTCCCTGCAGAATTAGTGATTTTGAAACTTCGTGCGGCAATGGATATCTATGAGGTAGGACAGGAGTCAAGTGACGGTCCTAGAAGTTCGTACCATCTGCGCATCGCGCTGTAGAAGACCGAGATAGGGGAGTATGAACAGCGAGGAGTGGGGCCAGGGCATGCCGCATATCGAGATCCTCAGCGATGGGGGTCGTATGTGGTCTGTGGAGGGAGTGGGGTTCGTACTGGTTGTTTGCAGTGAGACTGTAGTTACAAGTCCCTTTATTGGTTTCTGGATATCTACCTCACTTCTCCTAGATGGATATTTTTTTTTGTGTGTGTGTGTGGGGGGGCGGGGGAAGAGGGAATACGGTAGATCAATCCTGAAAAGGTACAATTTGAGGTGATTTTCAAGGAGATGGTAAGGTGTGGATGGTAAAGGCCACTCATAACGCGAATATTGATGTGCGCTTTCGCTGCTGCAGTTGGAAAGGAATAGGATAAATGGAGCAGAAACACGATGAAGAAAACTACACAACAGATAGAATTTCAGGCCCATTGGTTCCATATTCGGCTTAAGCTCGCCATGTATCACCTAGGGCCCGTATTATGAAACAACCATTTCACGTAAGATACCCACACGCTCGCGTGCATTTTAGCTCTCCCAGTGGAACGAATTAACTACTGGCGCCACATGTCCTATGGCTATTAGAGCCCCTTCTCAATCTGTTCTTCGCCCTGGGTTTCCCCCAAAAATGGCTCCAGAGCTGCGGTTTTTAAGCGGCCCACCCAAATGGCCGATCCGATGCACATTTAGCTCTGGCGTAAAAGCTCTAAATAGAGCTTTATGAGTTTGGTGACACTAGCTTGCCGCACCGCATCGCTGGTAAGCGGGATGCGCGCTATGAATTTTGAGCGCTGTTCGGCTTTGAAGGGGCATTTCGCACTGTCGCTAGTTCCTTTTGAGTTCACGTTAACCAGCGAATTTCACTTTCTTGAAATGTGTAAACTCTTGTGAAGCTGCAAAATGACACTTTAGCAACAGGAGTTCACAGGTTTTCACAAAGTGGCCTGTACTAGCTTCGATGAGTACCACTGGTTGCCCCCACCAAGCCGAATTGCGTCGAAATCAGACAAATGGGCACAACAACATAAAGCGGAGTATAGTTGAAGGACCAGTCTGACAGTCTTGTTTCCCAGTACTTTCGTGGAACCAAATCTTGAAAATTTCTTCTCATCGATTTTTCCCAAAGAGGGGACCTTTCAATTATTGTTTTTTGTGAAGGTCGCAATCCCAAGAGATGTCAAGATGGGTGGTTTCATTAGGGTGTTTTGTGTGGTTCTTGGAGCTAATTTGGTGATTTGAGGAATTCGAAGAGGGCAAAGTGGCCAGTTCTGCTGCTGAAGAATTGGAACACGCGAAAGCGGCAGTTGCAGAAGAACGCCAAAAACTCACAGAAATCGGCAAGGTATGCATTTTTGGGGCATATTCTGATGACTTCAGTATCCAAGAAACATTTGTATCGAGAGTGATCCCCTTTTAGGAAAAGTACTCCAAATTCAAAGATCGTTTCGAAAACATGGACGCTACACTTGAAGAAAACCTTGAACAGAGGATGAAACGCCTTGAGAAGGACCTCATCCCTGTTGGCAAGGAAACGTTGGCGAGCACTAAAGAAAGGTATGCGAATGGGAGTTATGATTTGTTGCATGCAAATTCTCCCCTCTATTCGAATAATGGCAAAAAAGGGCGTTCTCTCGTTTTCTCTACCTTTCCCGACCTGCTTGCCCTACGTTCAGGCGTTCATATCCGCTCAAAAATGCATTGACTCCCCTTCGAGCACCTCGTCAACGGAGATGTGCTTTTCTATTTTTTCCAATTACATACGAAGACTTGTAGGCCCGCATTCATCTTTCATATAAACTTCCTTAGGATGTGTTTGAACTACTGTATGAACGTCTAGCCCGGAGGTCTTGGCTTACACTCAGTTTTGCCTGATTCGAGTGACTCTGTTTCTCATGACGGATAACCCCCGAGATTAGCATGCCGCACATTGGAGATCCCCACCGAGACAGGACGTATTTGGGCGCTGGAGAGGGGCGTATCTGCTTTTGGGTAAAATGTTTTCGGTTATTCAATTCTCTCGGTTTCTTCCAAGGGCGCTATGTACCTTCTCGATGGCAGTTTATAAAGACGAAAGCTGGAAGATCTTATTGGGCTAGAAAGTGTGGTGTGAAGGTGGGGAAAGGGAAGAAGAATGGACAAGAGAGGTCGCTTCAGAGGAGGAACTTTGGAGGGGGGGAAGAGGCAGGATTGTATTTTGTAGAAAAAATTTCCTCAGCGACAAGAGTTGTTCTGCTGCTCTTGAGGCCCGTGCATGTCTTTGTCTGTCTCATGTAATCTTTTCTTTTTCAGGAATTCACACAGGTTTTTTTCATCCCAACTGACATGGTAGCGGCAGTAATGGTCATATGAACAACTC